GGGTTGATAGATCAGGTCCTGATGGAAAGAGGGAACTTGATGCACTTATTCAGGAGGCTGCAGCACTCGGAATAAAGATGCCCAAAGTGAAGGACCTTGCTCCTGACCCACAACAAGTTCAAAAGGCTGGATATCGGCAGATTGAGGTGACTTGCGATAGAGGAAACATTGAGATAATTCCACAGTATGGAGTTACATTCTATGTAGAGTACTGGAATGGACCGAAGAGAGATGCAACTTTCACGGATCCACCAAAGATGAACCCAGCAATTCGCATCGACAAGCTCAGCGAGGAGAGTCAGTGGGTCAACGAGATTAGCCATAGACTCAATAGACTACTCAGGCATGGAGTGGGAAAGCATAATGGGATTCAATCGCACCGCGGTCGAAAACCTCATGTGTCCCCGAAGTGCAATGAGGGTGGATGGGTGAACATCGATGAGATCCTGGAATATGATCATGTCTTCAACGATGGTGTCAATATCAGTACTATCTCAGGTACTCAACGTGAGCAAGATACCAAGACAGAGCGATACCAGTATTTATGCAAGGCGATGTGGCATGCAAAGAAGTTGCAGAACAGAGTACGCTATCAGATTGCCGCCATTCGCATCTCAAAGGAGGATGTCTCACTCGAAGAGGAAAGGCAATACTGGGCAAACCTCATGTTTTACGGCACAGACGCACCGTCATTTCTGAAGCATGAACGTTGGATCGTTCCTTGTGCAATTCGAGCTGTTGCCTCCCACAATTCTGGAAGAGAGACTGTTCTTGAAGAGGATGTGTCAATATATCCTGTGTGGACTTCACATCTCATCCCAGAGAATGTGGCAATGCAGCTTGGAGGAAGCTTTCACATGACATCGCTTTCCAATATTGAGTCAATCATGAAACTAGGAATTGTCCCTGGTGGAATGGATGGATATAGAGGTAGTGTTTTCTTCAACCACTTTGCGCCGTGGGATGATCGATCATCAAAGATTCTGAGATCAAGATGGCCAAGAGGGGGAATGCCCGTTTGCCTTTATGTTCCAATCATGACTTTGAGGAAGCTTGGGGGAAGAATTTCGGAGAATTCCTACACTGTTGTTTTTAGAGAAGTTCCATGGAGATGTGTACGAGGTGCTTGGTATTGGGACGACCACGGTCAGGCATGGAGGAGACTCCTGCTGGGAAGCACTGGAGAGCAAGTTGTTCTAGCGGCACGTCATGGACTTTGGGTTGCTCAGAAGCATACCATCCTCGAGAGAGCCGACGAAGTCACGAAGTCAGCCTCGGCGACAGATGACAACGTCCAAAAGCTCGTGTCCCTTATCGATGAAGTACGATTCGATGACAATGGAGAGCTGATCGAGGATTCCATCAGTGAGGAAACTTGGGACGAAATCATCTCCAGAACATGTGAAGGGTATCGCAACGTGGATGGCAATATTTTGTGTCCATCATGTATGCGTTTGACTTCTTCATCTTTGTCCGTGTGTCTATCTTGTCAAGGCAGGCTACTCTCGTGTGGCATTCGCAACACTGTCATTTCCGATTCACCCGTTGATCTTGTGAGCGACGATGAAGAGGAAAAGAAGGAAGAGAAGAAGCCTGAACATGATGATCAAGATATATTGGACCAGGCCACTATGGACGAGATCAGAAAGGCTTGGGAAGAAGACATCGCTCAAACTGAAGCAGATGATGACGACGAGGACATGGATAATCCAGATCCTTCCAAACCGTCTGAGGGTGCAGAGAACTTCAAGAGTGACAATGTCGAGACCCCGTCTTTCAATGAGGACGAGATCGACTACGGTCGTGACTCTGATCTAGAAGATGAAGACGAACGAAACGTGATCATCGAGATCCAGAGGAGCACACAACAATATGAGGGGAAGAAACGTCAAGATGGTGAGCCCGAGGATGAAGACGTCGCCGACGACTTACATCCGGAGGCGAATCGACCGACAGATCGTGATGAACCGGGATACTATGCACAGCATGGAGCGACCGAGTTCAATCCCGAAGAAGGAAGAGACAACGAAGATCTCCCCATCTATTGTCGAGTACCGGAACCTCGAATCTATGCGCATCAAGAGAGAGCCTACTGTCAGGACGTCTCCATGAATGCATCGGGTTTGATGGATAGGTATGTGGTCAAATGTGTGCTGAACATGATCTCCCTGATGTACAAGAGCTACTATTGCACCAGCCTTACCGACTTCAAAGCAAATTGGAAAAAGAAGCGTCTGGATGTGATAAGCAAGTTCGGTACAGGAGATTCCACTGAAATCGATGACGATGGGAGACCATTGGATCCAACAGATGACATGATGTTAAACTTTGCCAACGACAACAATATTACAACTGAGGAGGCCTGGCACCGATTCAGAGGAGAGCAATTCATTTGCAAGGTAGCACTCATGATCCTATCATTTGGTCATACTCCGAAATCCTTCAAGGAGGAATATGGCAACTTCGAATACTCCACCAACTTGACTGATGCCCAGCTTGAGGAGTTGAAAGCGAAGAAAGCCAGTGCAATGACTGAATTGGTACAGAAGTGCATCCATGCGATTTATGGGTGTCGGACATATTCTTATTTTAGAACCGACATTACATCACCCTACCACAAGGTGATCGATCCTCTGGACATCATGTACTCGAGAATGAAGAGCAAGTGGGAGAAGTCTATTCTGTTGATCGTTGATCAACATGAGATTAGGTTGCCCCCACAAGCTCAGGAAGTCATAGAGTCAATGGCCAGAAACCCCAACGTTGGACATACAGAGAGATGGATGAGCGTGGTAGAACACAAGCATGTTCAAGCTCTTACCAATCGTCTAGGCTTTGGAGATAGGGCCAAGGAGATTCAGGGCAAGAAGAAGCAGGCAGCCAAGGCAACAGCTAAGTCAACATCAACGACTAAGTCTGAAGCGAAAGCAGCATCTTCGTCAAGAGCTGAGGCAAAGCCAGCATCTACACCCAGAACCGAGGCCAAGCCGTCGTCAGCACCAAGTGAGGAGCCAAAACCTTCAACAGCACCTAAGAGTTTCGGGCCCTCATCAGCAGAGGAGAACAAGGTGAAGGCTGCTCCAAAAGCCAGACCACATGATAAATCACCATCCAGTGCTACCGATGTGTTCGAGCAAGCTTTGCAGGAAGATCTTGCCGCCAACACACATGCAGCAGAAGGTACAACTTCTTCATCATCCCGAGGACATTCCAAAGGAGGAGGCCAATCTGGAACATCTTGGAGGCCGGCGCTAACGCAAGAACGTCGCGAAGTACCTCAACCTTCTGAAAAGGGGAAGGGAAAGAGCAAGTCCAAGGGAAAGTCCAAGAAGGGAGAAGATGATCGGTGGGATGCTCAGGGCAGCTGGGATCATCGTGGATGGAGAGGTTATCACCAGTGGTGATTTCTTTGAACGACTATGAGGATACCATGCAAGCCAGGGAGGAAGTCATTCACCGGATGTCTATCTGACCTGGAACGCTGTAAGTGTATCATTGCAAATAGTCAATTTGATTTGATACCATGAGCATAATGGAAGGAAGACAATCACCGACTGTCTCTCCGACTTGCCGTTCTGTAAGTGTATCCAAACCAAAACCTACATCTTTTGAGAAGTGTGAAGTCAGTTGCCGATGTGACATCTACGTGGAAGTCACCAGTTCGGATCTACATCAAAGCGATGCTCTTTTGAGTGGATACTGAGCGAGGCCTCGTGACTGTCTCACTTGTTCAATTCGATTTTTTTAAAGGTTCTGAGCCATAGTTGCACACTTTATATGTAAAAGTCCGCTTTAGTCCAGCATGTTTCGTAGTATGAGCCTCATATGAGTCTCGCGGCAAATCATACAATTTCTTTGTAGCACTTACATCCCTAAATTTTCGTGTGTGATCGGAACATACTGTTGCCGTTCACATGGGGGGTGCGAATGGAAGTGCAGCGACACGTACAGTGCAACTTGTACATATATATGTATCATATGTACTTTGGCTCAAGGCTCAAGATCAAGCGACTAGAAAAGGTGCGGTTTCCGTTCCGACGCTACGCCGCTTATGGACCGTCAGTGATAGCTTCAAACTACGCTGATTAAGATCCACTCGCAGATACTCCCCTGCTACTAGGAGCAAAGGGCATCGCTACTAGGGGGCTCCTGGCCGTACTACTAGGAGCAAGGACGCTACTAGGAGCAAGAAGCTAAGGGCCCCATCTTTCCTTTCCTTTCCTTTCCTTTCCACCCCCATTGGGCCTATCGGGCCCATCGCCTATCATCCCCGAGGACTGATGGCATTGCAGATGCCGAGGCGCCGAAAAGTAACCTCGACATGGCTGCGGGTCTAAACCCGGAGCCCTCAACTCACCCTGGTAGGTTGACCTCCCCAGTACTATTCTGTTCATTTTCGGTGGTCAACCAGAGCTGCCCACAGCCACATGGCGTTTTTCGCGAACCTCGTCGTGGTGGTCCATCATGTTCCATCAATTCTTCGGAGCGCTTCTCCGTTTGAACAAACGAGGTGGTCAAGATCGGTACCAAGTTCGGCTATCCACACGACCTCCTGGAATTGGGAGAGGCACGACCGCCACGCCTTGGTGGTGACTTGTTCTGCTTAAATGTGTTTGTGACAATTGGAGAACGTCGGAGCATGGCTTTCTTCAACTGTCGCCGTGTGGTCGACCTTGCCAGGAGTTGGGCAGCGGCGCGGCTGCGAAGGCCATGGGTGACAGGGGCCCCGTCCACACGAGCGGGTGGCCGAGCCAACGAACGGCCGAGGTCTATGTGTGCCGGAGATGTAACACTGGACAGGAGTTGGCCGTCAAGGCTGCGAGTTTTTGGCAACAGACTGACGGCGAAATCTTCCGCTGTGGACTTGGGTGAATTGTGACTTGCTTCTGGAGCAGGTGATCAACCTGGGCAAGTTGAGGCTAATGAATGATTTCGAGGGACACATTGTGTGCCTGGCATGTGCTTGAGTCTATACTCGTCTTTGCTAATGTATTGTGTGGCCGAGTTCAATTCTGATGTCTGTCATGTTTCTTGGAAGTGAGATGAAGGAGGATGAAGGTAGTGGTTCCTGATGTTGTGAGAGTAAAGGAAATAAATTGATCACTGTCGAGTCAATACCCGCAGCAATACAGCTGAGAAACTCCCCCGTTCGTTTGTGCCTGCTTCTGTGCCACAAAAGATGGCTGCCAGAGCGGAGGCCTGCAGTGAAGTCAAGTCGGTTTGTCAATGTCTTGTCTTTGAAACTCTGTTTCTGACACGTCAAGTGTCCAAAAGTGTATTGACCAGTCAGTCAATGTCCCTATTACACATGTCACTCTTGAGCTGACCTTGGCTTGGTATGCCGTGGTATGCCGTGGTATGCCATTGTGCCCAGAATGGATGCGCTGAGGGTATACTGAGGGTTAGGAGCACCAACTGATGGCTTGCAGGATCAAAGTCAGAGCGGAAATATCCTGCTCTATGTCACTTGGCAAGCAATGAACCCTTGCCTTGGCAATTGCCAAAGAGCAAGGATCTTAACTCTTAACATACCTTTCTTTGCATTCTTACCCTTTGTTTGCATCGTTCCTCTAATCTGAACAGTTCGTGAAACTCATCAACGTACACGCAAGGTCATGGTTGGCATCTACGTCTTTCTACTGATGATGATCGCCAAGATTGCCCACGGCCGAAAGAAAAGGGTGGCAGCTGAGGAGGGCGAGGCGACTGTTCCCGCGGCGCAGTTGGTTGGTTGAGTCACCTCAAAAAGGCACACTTAGTCCTTTTCAGAAATCTCCACGTTAGGTGATCGCTTTAAACCTGAAGGAATTGCAAAAGCCTTCTCAGAACCCCCAAAAAGAATGATCACGAGGCTGCGCAAGGGGATTTTGCGGAGGTTTTGGAGTGTATCTGTATAAGGTATTCTATTGAATTAGTAATTCTACGTGTTTATTCATTGCCTTATCAGTCATGGTGTCTCGCTTTTAGTTCACCTCCAGTAGCATGTGGCTGGCCGCGAATTCGCGGCAGGTTCAAGCTCACTTTGGTGGGTCTTTTGGAGCATTCACGCTCTTCCTCACGACCTTTTCCACCGTCTACTCCGGTGTGGACCTAAGAGGTTTGCACGCGCCAAAACTTGTGCTGCAACTTGCGCAGGAGTAGGAGACAGCGAGTTTGTCTGGATGATTCTCGATGATTCTCTCATTCCACCTGTAGTGACCCAGGCTTCACAGTGACGGGCATTCCTGACGAAGCTTTCTCGAAGGGCTTTGTGTCTGTGCGATGGGTTGGAGCCACCTTGGTCATTGTCGCAGGCATGCTGCTGATGTATCCAAGGCCTGCGTTTGAAGGTCATCTTGCCTAGTGTCAATGTTCAAGTTGTTCCAATACCCTCTATCTATCCAACAAACATGGAAGTGGAGACGGGACCCTGGAAGACAGTTTTCCTCTACAAACAAGGCCTTATCCACTTCATTCCACTTCCATGTGTGTTTTGAACAGAGGGTCTTCAATACGGCTGTGGGTCAAGGCCGGGGGACCCTGGTTGACCACGGAAAAGGAACTAAGTAGACTACTGAGGAGGTCAACCTACCGGTTTAGGGATCCAGATGGGATCCAGGTTTTGACCCACAGCCAGAATTCTACAAAGTAATGTGAGTTATAGTTTGCTGTAATATATAATATCATTTTCATCCTCTTAAACTTCCAGGCTCCGACGCTTGGCTGTTGCACGGGCCTACAGTAGCCCCATGGACTTCATCTCGGACCGCTTCGGCACGGTGCGGCTGCGGCTGCTTTGTGCGGCCTGCGGCATCATTCCCATGGTGATCTACATCACGGCACAGATGATCTCCTTTGCTGCCATGGTCGAAGGATGGCCGAGATGGGGTAGGAGCAAAGGGCATCGCTACTAGGAGCAAAGGGCATCGCTACTAGGAGCAAGGACGCTACTAGGGGCTCATGGTCGTACTACTAGGAGCAATGTTTGCTATTAGAAACAAGATTTCAATAGAATTAGAATTAATGTAAATTTAAATTTATGACATGGAACCGGTATAGTCTGGTGGATTTGGGTGACTGTGAACAGGAAGTCTGGAGGAGAGACGTGTTGGCTCAGCATGGTGAAATGCGTCATGTTGAAAAAGATGTCGATCCAAAAGTAGCTTATTGTTTCTAATAGCTTTTTGTTACTACTAGTAAGGCACCTGTTACTACTAGCGTGGCACTTGTTCCTAGTAGCTTATTGTTTCTAACAAGAACACGGAAAATCCATCCACAATGGACATGCAACGGACGACGCCCAACTCACACGGCCCAGAAACTGCTCTCATGCTATCAGGAATGTCCCAACTCAGATGGGGTCCTTGCCACACATTTATAGCTTCCAAAGCTGAATGCATTCCGTTCGTCGGCAGTAACTTGGGGAACACATTGACCGGCGCACATATCACAAGGCAAACAACAAACAGAATGAGGTGACTGATACCTTGAGGAAGCTCGACAAACTTTATTTTCGAGACGACACCCTTGAGCCTTGAGCTGCCAGCATCCAAGCTGGGACAGAGTTGCAGGTCACGCAGGTCGTATCAAGACCCCGTGGTTTGAGTGTATAGGATGTGCGAAAAGCACAGTATGTTCCATGATGTTCCATGTAGCAGATTACCAGCTAACATGTCAATGTGCTGTGGTTCAGGAATCATGATTTGTGTAATAATAATTCCATTCGGGAGGTTGGTCAATTCTTAGGCTAAAACGTGCCACTACTTTTGGCCTTCACGTGGAAGGAATGACCTTGGAACTTGTTCCAAAGTGGGCCTGCATGCTGATCTTCTGTGTGCTGATCCTCACCTTGGAGGTGCTTGGCGGAATGAACAGTGTGGTCCTCACCGATGTGGTCCAATGCATCGTGATGATCGCTTCCTTCGTGGTCGTCTCCGCGGTGCTTGCGGCGGAGTATGGCTCCTTGCCACAGCTTGGGCCATCGGATTGCTCCTTCCTGGAACTGGTCTCCGGCAATGTGACGGATGCCTATTCTGTCCCGGAGACCTGTGGACCAGACCAGACGGGTTGTGTGAAAGCGGGTTGCATCGCGGCGGTGAAGCCGAACTTCTACGAGTTCCCGAGCCGATCCACCTTGTGCGACATCATTTTCTTCCTCGTGAACATGCTGGCAGCCCTTGCCTCAATTCACAAGCCTTTGGGGCAAATGGAGGGAACTCATGAAACATCATGATCAAGGTTAGAGATTTGTTCAATAAAGCAAGACATTTCCAACTGTGCCTCAGCGTTTCTGTAGGCCCCTTTGCAGCCCCACATGGTCCAGCGAGCCTACATCGCTTCAAGTGATGCCAATCTTCGCATCGTGATGGCTGCCATGCTGCTAGCGCCATTCGTGGCACAACCCCCCGGCATTGTCATCGGATTAACGAAAAGTGCGTACAATTCCGCTTGGCCCTTGGTTGATCAAGAGGCCACGGCCTTCTCTGGCTTGACTGCACAACTCAAGATGACGGGACCTTTCCAGTACTTCTTGGTGACAGTCATGACCTGCTCCTGCTTGGCCGCCATTATGTCCACAGCAGATTCCGCCCTCATGGGAGCCTCCAGTGTAGTGTCTTTAGATGTTGTAAAGGGGACGCTGCTTCCCTCGCTCTCCAAGAAGAACGTTGTCCGGGTGGGTGAGTTGAATTCAGTGCTCGTGTGTGGTCTAGCCTTTCTGCTGGGCATGCATTTAAATGCTGACCAGATGGGCGTGATCATTGTTTTCCAGAATGGCATCTGGGTTGTTTGGAATATTCATTATTCTTCCATCCCTTAAATTTTGGAAGGGTTACTGTCATACTATATCTCAACTGACTCATATGGTAGGGGATCATTCAAATCATCGACCAGGTATGTTGATGCAGATGCTGCCGGCCTTTTGCTTCGGCTTGTACCTGCAGGTTTCGGAGCTTCCTGTTTCCGCCGGAATCTTGACCGGCCTCATCTCCTTGGTGATTCTCACCATCACAGGTAATCCATTGGATGGCTATGTGCCGGCGGTCAACGTCTCTGTCTTCCTGAACTTTCTCGTCGTGGCTGTGATGGAACTTCTCGGTCGATGTGGAGCCTGCGGAGGCTGCGAGAAGTCCACCGAATTGGACGTGGCGGAAATTCGCAAGGTCATGGCGACTTCCAAGGAGGGTTGGTTGCCGAGCCGAATCACCTCAGCCACTTCTGTACAGCCTTTTCTTTTCAGGGAGAGATGTCTTCTTCGAAAGTACTAAAGCTTGAAGTGGTTTGCGCTCCGGTTGGCCACATTCGCTCTCTTTTTTTTCCGGCTCATGAGGGAACACCCAAGAAAAGACCATAAAAGACCTATATAGGGGCAGGTCAATCTTGAGACTGAGACACCTCATGTATGAATCCTCTTATCAATATCAGGTGCTTCTCAACCGTTTGTTGGCCTCTTTCGGTCATGATTTCGTTCACAGGAGCCCAAGCTAGTGCTGATCGCTTTGATGTTTGGCTTGGCCCTGATCTCTGCACCTTGGTATGGTGCACCAGGAGTGCAAGAGCCCATGATCTGGGGCGCACCCAGGTGCCATGGGAGACGCCGGCAACCCAATTTGGCTCATCCAATGTAGGAAATTGAGAATCCTCCAGTTGTTGTGCTCCTCAATAGATTTCCAATTACATTTTTACAACTTCAGTCACAAGTCCATCACAGTCTTTCTATGTCTTTCTCAGCTTTCCAACACAGGTGGGCACTCATCCAGATGATTTGCTACGTGGTGATTTTCTTCCTCGGTCTGGTGACATCCTTCCTTTGGAAGCCACCCACCCAGACGCCCGTGAAGGGCCCTCCCAACACCGTGAAGGGCGGGGACCGCGGGTATGTGCTGCCGGGTGTCGACGACCGTGTGGTGGGTGTGGCGCCCTCGGAGGCGGAGACGGCCTCGACGGAACAGGTGACTTCCACGGAATCCCAGCGGAAGGTTTGAGAGATGAGAGAGGGATATGGGGATGTTCGATAGGAGAGGGCCACCTTCGAAACTGGAGAGATCTGCCTTGGACATGTTCCTTTTGGCGCAGAGGTGGTGCCTTATTTTGGAGTTTGCATGCGAATTAACACTGCCGGATGTAGTTGTAAAGTCAGCAGACATGGCAGTGCATAGTCTTTGCTTTCTCAGTGTCCCAATCCTGCTGCAGATGGCACAGGTCAGGGGATGCCTTAAGAGCAGACGCTCTCAACTCTCCACCAGAAAGGACTGGCGCCATTTCTCGTTTCGTAGCCTCGTAGCACAGATGGTCTTGTGACTCGTGGTTGAAGGTAACATATTGCAATCATGTTGGTTTCCGCCTTTGGCCGAACGGAAAGGGCTCAAAGCTTCCCAAGATGCATTGAGCCAGAACGTGAGCCATGGCCGAAGGGAAGCCCAAGAAGAATGTCAGCCATGAGATGATCATCTGGAAGAAGCTCATTGAGACGGAGCTAAAGACTGCTGCCAATTGGGAATATCAGTGGGGGTTTCTCAAAGCCGACCAGTCCAAACGTCGCTTGTCTGGCTGTGCGTCAGCCCCATCTCTGGGGGCACCGAAGGTGGTGAAGAAGTTGGATCGGTCGCAGGCTTTGTTGTCTCGTGTCCTGGAAAGGCCTCAACAACGCTATGGCCGTCCGATGATCACATCCCACGAGATCGGCTGGCGCGAAAAGAGTTTGGAGCGCTTCGGTGTGAGCCAGCATGGCATCAAGCGGGACCCGGGCATTTGGCCAGACTACTAAGTGTCGATGAAACGCAATTATATCGGGGGGATAGAGTGCTTTGACCAACTGATGATCTAACAACATCCAACAGCCACATTGTGTGGTTCCGACTTCAAATGGCTTGATGCGTGTTACGCAGACTTGGAAGCCTGGTTTAGTGTTTTTTGTCTCACAATAGCCGCAACAGCCGACAGGCGCCTAGCTTTCCTTCCCAAATGGGATAGGAATCGTTCGTTGGATGATAAAAAAGCAAAAACACAACTGGATTTGGACCTTTGCATCGCCGGACGGAGTGTTGTGGGGATGAATATATAGACGGAACTCAGAAGCTAAGGTGTTTATTGACTTCATTGCATGTCCTGGTTCTCGTGCAGTTTATACGTTGCACAGTTATTCGCCCTGTGGGTTGGAGGCTCGATGTCAAGACAATGTAACTGCATTGTTGCTTTGCAGCATTTGTGAATGCTTTGTTTTTGGCTTATGGTTTCTGGATAGCTGAATGAACGATGCCGCCTGGCCTCTTCCGAGTTCGGCTGGATTTCTGGTGTTTTTCATCCTCATACTGCATTGGACCAGTTCAGTTGCCAATTTCTGCTTGCTTCAGCACATGACATCATGTTGATGTTAGTTCGAGTTGTCCCTGGTCCGCTTACTATTAACTTAACTCTCGCCATCTCTAACTTTGCACGCGATGCTTGCTGATTCTCCAGCGGGCCAGTGAAGCCCAGCGCAAGGTCTTTGCGGATTCAACGGAAGCCCCACTGCAAGGACCACGTGTCCTCCAATAACCCTAAACCCTAAACCGAGTTTCGTGAGTAGTCCTCCAATCATCTCATGCCAGATCTCATGCCAGGTGAAGTTGAACCGTGAGGTGCAGATCCTACAAGGTCTTTCGAACCCCAGGACCGATGAGTGACAGGTCAAAAAAATAAGCTGCATGGCATGCATGGATGCTTCATCTTTGGTGTTCCTTTTGTACTTTGAGCTGACTCTTGTTGACAGGATCGTGAACCTTCATGCGGTTCATAGAACCAAACAATGGGTGTTCCTGGCCGCTTGGCTGATCAGCTCCGCACGAAGCTGCTGCTCCGCACTGAGTGTTTCTTGCTCCGCTCTCAGGTCATGGAATTGGTCAGAGGCGGTGAGCTCTTTGATGTCATCGTCAGCAACAAGACCGCAGACATGTCGTAGATGGAGTTGTTGGTACAGACTCTACGTGCAGGGTGGGTAGGGCTATGGAAGACAACCATGTCTCCATCATAAAGCAATTAACATGCTCCAGATATCACAGTAGAATGTCTGAATGTTTTCTATAGAGACCCCTCCGAGTCTCCTTTCTCCCACGGGTGTCAATGTTGGCATCCACTTGGTAAGCCAAACACATCGGAACGCCTAGGCGGCCGATATTTACACAGCTAGTCGCTAGCCCCTGGTCCCGATCGAATTCTTGGACTGATCCGGTCCTCGCAGGACCCTCAATGAGGTTGAAGCCAAGTACATTTTCCGGCAGCTTCTCGAGGGTGCGCGACGCATCGATTGACGCCCAGAATAAAACAACATCGAGAGAGCTTCTTCAGCTCAGCGAACGTGTGAGTGAACGTGTGGGAACATTCGCCAGGTGTTGGATACATGCACAGCAAGAATGTGATCCACCGAGACCTCAAGCATCTTGGCCAGATCGGATGGGGAATCGAGGGCAGGGCCGTGGATTCCGTGAGTAAAGCCTGGAACAGTTTGGGCAGTGCGGCAGGGGTCAGGATGGTCAGGACAGACACGGAGTATCTGGGCTATACTGGGCTGAGGTTTTGGTGGTTGTTCTCTAGCAGACTCTTTCCGAAGTATACAGCATAGCCCCAACTTAGATGGTACAACGCTGAACAAGCTTCCTCGACTCACAAATCGTCGACGTCATTTCATGCCATTTCTAAGATAAGCGCGAAAAGTCAATGTCGCTTGGTACTTTGTGCAGAACCTTCGACCAAATACTAGGTTCCTATATGTTCCTATATGTTCCTATATAATCTATCGGATCTTCCGACAGCAGGTGCTTGGAAAACCCCTTTGTCTCGACTCGTGACGTCGGGACGTCGACTCGTCTCATCGTGTCCTCTGTGTCGACTCCTCGAGGCCCGAGAACATCTTGATCGCCGCGAGCCGTGAGCTCCCGCCGCCGATGTCCGGGACCTTGCGCGAGGCGGGACGGGGAAGCCTGCGAGGCGGCACCGGACGAGGTGTTTGGGTTGAAACGAAGGCACGAGGTGTTACGAAGTACCGCCAGCTTCTGTATTCTTTCAACCAGGTCCTTATCTCAGATTCATATTTATATATTTAACTCCATTTGTTCTGGGCTTGCGGTGACCAGGTACAAATGCAAACTCATTGTGTATCCCTATAATGCCCTTTCCGTGGTTTTGAAGCAACACCCATTGAAGGTACCGTTCTGCACAAACCCCATAGATGCGGTTTTCAATGGTTTTCACGTATTCACATTGTCGATGCACCAACAAAGCAGGCAGGTGGGCAAACGCGGACACTTGGTCTATTCATTGTCCATTGGGAATGCGTGCCAAACTGTGAGCAACCTCATAATTGCGGTAGATGAATTGGCCGAGCAGTCCGGAGGTTTTCCAAAGACTATCAGAGAAGCGACTATCCTAAGGCTTCATCATGTTTGCTTTCTGGATGCCAAATCCAGTGGAAATTGGAATTCAACGGGTACACGCACTCGCGGACGATCCACTCCTACTATCTCCTACCCAGTATACCTTCCCGATTGGTACGGTGGTTAATATGCGATTTGCCCATAGAAGCATAGCTTTGGATGTTTTCTTGAAAGACCGTTCAACGGCACAGAGCTTGCATGGGTGAAGTATTGAGCCGTTCACCAGATTGACCGATCCAGGTGACCCACTAGCCGACCCACTCATCCAAGCTTGGTCAAATATTGAGCAATTCAGCTTGGATGCCAGCAGTCACAAAGGGATTGTTTTTAGTCCCTAAGTGAGTGGATAATGGGCACCTCTATCCTCCAATAGGCACCCCTTTGTGACTGCTGCTTCTTTGAATTTGGTGACCTTAGTGACCCGACCGATCCAGGTGAAGATCGCAGACTTTGGGCTGTCGAAGATCATCAATGAGGCCGGGCCAATTCGGAGTCTTTTGTAAAGCAGCCAGCACGAGTTCTTGGGCGGTTTTCATCACCCTTACTTTCTGGGACACTTTCAGTACCTAGTGATCAGCGTATATGTGTTTCCAAATTTTCCAAAGAGATCTTGCTAGTGGAATATGCATCCGCGAGTCCCGCTTCCCTTAAATATTGATGCCCTTGCATGCCCTTGCAACCAGTTTGAGCTCAGATGTCAAAGAATTGGTGGTTTTGATAGCATCAAGCACAGCAACCCACTGTTAAAGCTTGCCCTGTTTGCACATTCTTGAGCCATGATCCCTTCAGAAACCCAGGTGATGCACCCATCCACTCGTCGGCCCCCAGGGCTCCTCCTTCGCGAAGACCTTCGTGGGGACGCCGCAGTATTGGGCGCCGGAGGCCTTTCCGACCTCTTCCGCCGATCGGTCCCCGAGCCACACGGCGTTTCGGGGGAAGTGGCCGATCGGAGCGTGGCTCGTAGTGGTCCCAATGAAGTACTAGCAGTTTTACTTCAATTTTAGTTGCAGCTTTGTTCCAGATAACATATTGTTTTTGTACTGCGTTAATATATCGCTTTATGTTTGTCTTCCCCAAGATTGTACACGATGCATGACACACAAACAGCTCTTTTTGATCCCTTCAGACTTGCTTAGGGTTGTGCACACATGCAAACAGATCTTGGTCAGGTCCTCAATGTACAGAGAGGGGGAGGCAGCTACACCCAAGCGGCAGACTACTGGAGGCCTGGATGATAAAATGGTACATCCCCTCCAGCTTGTATTGGAGGACGCTATTGATGGTCCTTTCATGTCCTTTGTGTGGTTCCAGTCTAGTTCCAGTGCTCTTCGATTTGCTGCCAGCTTGGGCGCAGTGCTCTTCGTCATGCTGGGTGGCCGATATCCCTTTGACGGGAAGGCCATGCCGTTGGAGGCGGGGTCGCGGGTCGGTCGTTGGCATCCCCAAGTGCCCTTGGCAGTGAACGAAGAGGTCTTGTGATCAAAAGAAGGGATGATAAGGAGGTGTAAGTAGAGGTGTAAGGAGGATTCACGGATCTGCAACACAGTTTGCATGTTTCAGTGGGGCATCGCACTGTAAGCCTGTGGATTGCAGGAACAAATCCGAACGGCAAGCTTCGGCTACTTGCCTGCAAGATCCTGCAAGCAAGATGCTTTGCTTCTCACTTCCAGCTGGTAGGTCCTTGACTCACTCTTGAGACTATAGAGAACCCTCAACCGCACTGCGCTGTGGGGGCGCTTGCGCACTCCCCCTGTCCAACACTTCCAATTCTGCTAACCAGGACAAATTGATGTGCAAGCTGAGTCAAAGACTCACAGCTTCAAATAGCCCAGACATACTTTCATAAATCACGCTTCATACCTGGGATAAATACAAAGAAAAAAACATAAGTTTGGGGACAGGGTTTCAAACAAATTATAGAGCCTCTTCCAAAAGAATATGACGACTGTGCGTCACCAGCCTTGCGAAACCGACGCCAGCAATTAGAACGTTTTCGTCCCAAACTCCACGAGCAGAAATTGCTATGTGTTTTGGAAAAGACCTAAAACTCCAAATCCATGGGACACCCAATGGAAACAAATTATAGTTTTTTCAAAAAAAATCCTATAACTCGGAAAGTGTGTGACGTCCTTGTCGAAAATAGTTATGTTTTTTTCTTTATATATAACTATAACTATAACTCCAAAACCATGGGACACCCAATGGAAAAAAAGTATAGTCAATTTGTTCAACAAATTGTATAACTTATGATTCACCAGGGCATGCAGATAACCCATCACATGTTGCTTGTTTTTTTGTCTCTTTTTAGTTGGTGCCTGCGCATATTGATCACAAATTGTCATGTAGCTGTCTCAAGTAAATCTCTAGTACAATATTTCCTTGGAAAAAAGAAGGCGTCAATACATGCCTTAGCAAATCATAAGTTACATTTGTTTTCAAAAACAGTATAACTTTTTAGAGGGATCATAGTTTCCACGAGCATTTGCGCAGCTGCTCCGAACAATGCAACAGTGAAGCGTGTTTTCAAAGAAGAACCATAACCGGTTCTGACAGGGACGTCACACACACTTTCCGAGTTATAAGATGTTTTGAACAAACTATAACTTTTTTTCCATTGGGTGTCCCATGGTTTTGGAGTTATAGTTTGTTCAAAACAACTTAATAACTAGTTTCCATGGGGTGTCCCATCTTTTGGGAGTTATAGTTTTCTTCAAAAAATCAAAACTATTTTCGACAAGGACGTCACACACTTTCCGAGCAATAAGATTTTTTTTTTGAAAAAACTTACTTGTTTCCATTGGGTGTCCCATGGTTTTGGAGATATAGTTTTCTTC